TACTCTTGACATTTTTTTTAAATTTTTAGTCGATTTACAATCACATTGAGTCCACTAGTGTTTACCTAAATACCTTAAAGCCTTTACAAAATTTTCTAAAATTGTAACATGTATTATCTTATGATTTCGATAGTACTATAACCCAGTAACCCTGGGTATATCTTGTTTTTTCCTCGGATAGCCGTTGATATTGAATAAAAAAAAAAAATTCATAGCTCTTTATTGAATAACTCTTTTAACCAAATTTATCCACAATTTTCATTTTTATTAAAGTGACAACTTAAAGACCAGCCATAATCATTAAAATTTTCTTATTAGATATTTATAGATATTGAATTAGAATGAAAATGGAAAAATATTATTTGTCAGTCTGAAAATGAGAACCAATTAGATAAATGAAAAAGTTAATAAAAAAAAAAAGTAAATAGAATAAATGAAATACTAATGCCTTTTAAAATTTTAGATAATTATAAAGGAAGAAAAATCTGAAAGAGATTTAATTAATTATAAAAATATTATAAAGGAAAAATAACTTAAGAGAAAAGTCTAAGGCAAAAATTAAAAAATGAAATGTACTGTATCTTACTGCCAATATATTTTCATGTCTTTGTTAGCTTTTCTTTTTTGTTATTAAAGGACCCAGAATATACTGTACATGTAGGGGTAATGCACCGCCATAATAGAGAAATTTTACAGGGTTAGTCGGTTAGGTATTGCGATCCAAGGATTTTTTAATCATGGTCATATTATTAAAATGTGGATTTTTAACAGGTTTTTTTTAATAAGGGTTTATTTAGCTGATCACATGCACATATATTTCATGAGATAAATAATTAAAAATAGAATATATATAACTATTCAACAAATCTTCTAACATACCCCTTGCTTCTAATGTTGTCTATCATATTGAGCCAATTAATATGTTAATTGAAGAAATATATTGAAATTATTAAATGAAAAGTAATATTATTGTATTTACTTTAGTCGGAATGGTGTTCATGTAAAAATATTTTACTATATCCTTTTTTTAAATTTGCATCAAATTTTGATCATGGCAAATCACATGATGATCAGAAATTAGAAAATTAATATGCGTTTTTTCCTGATTTCTGGAGGCAATTTTGTTTACTAAACTTATAGAATACCTCCGTGCACGGGACGCATTTATTTCACCGAAAATCGTCTCACCGACAATCAACTTACCGACAGTCATTTCACCGACAGGGTCGTTTCACCTACAGTTGTTTTACCGACGATCATTTCACCGAAAAGATCATTTCACCGACAGGATCATTTCACCGACAACTAAAAATATCAGTAAAAATTACAAAAAAAAATAGCATTATAAAACAATTTATTTATTTATTTTATTTTATTTTATGGATAGTAAGAAGAATTACAATGAAAATCACATCACTATTCTAACGAATAACTTCAGTTTGTCTAAACCATTATGGAGCGGACCCTTACTAGAAAAAAGAAAAAAGAAAAAAACTATTCAGGGCTCCGACCAAGCCTGAATAGACAAGGTTCAGGATAATCTAGTAGTAGGTTGTGACAACGATTTGTAAAAAACTACTATTCATAAAACAATCACGTAAATGATCCGCATTTTTCTTTCAACCCTAATGGTTGCCACCTGTAAATACTGTCAGAGGTGGAGTGGTTCACTATTCTAAATTGTTAAAAGGTTTAATGTAATCTAATATAAAAGGTATAAAATGACTTCTATGGATGGAATATAAAAAATATTACGTTAATAACGAAATATCTAAAAAAAAACAAACAAACATGATTAACCATTGTTAATCCTTATTGCTAGAACCAGACTCCCCATTTTTTACAATAAAAAACTATTGAATATTAAATTAATAATTGTGGCTATGTTATCGGTTATCGAATTACGGTAAAAGATTAAAATTCGGTAAAATGATTTTCGGTGATATGATTTTCGGTGAAATAACCCTGTCGGTGAAATGATCCTGTCGGTGAAATGATTTTCGGTGAAATGACTGTCGGTAAGTTGATTGTCGGTGAAATAATTTTCGGTGAAATATACCGAACCCCTGTGCACAGCTATTAATAAGTCTTTATATATTTTTTGGGACTTTGTTATTAAAAAGAATATTATTACTAATTTACTATTTAAATTTGAATTTTCAGAAAACTAATTTATAAATTAAATCTCTTATGTTGACCACAGATTTATCATCCAAGAAATTTCTTTTGACAATTATGTTTTGCCATGATGATACTGTTCAGAAGTGGTTTTATACTATGTATCAGTATCCAGGGAATTATTATTATCAAATATAATATATTTTGAGTGAAGTTTTTGATGTACTTTAGGTTACATCAACAATAATATATTGAATAATAAATTTATAATATATTTTTTAAAATATATAAGGTTTCGGAAATGAAGAATTCATAATACTGTTCAAACTTTTGATTAAAAAAATTTGAATTTGCATTATTAAATTTGACACTATTCTCTGGCTGAAGCGTCTGGTAAAAAAAAAACATTAATTTGTTCCTATAATTGTATCATAACATTATATGAATAGTGAGTACCAAAAAATATCAGAAAATCCAAGCAGCAATATTGCCATGAACAGAAAATGGCTAGTGGAAGAAATAATATATATGGCACCAGCTATTATTATAGTGATGGCAAACCAGGTCATTTGGCCATTTGCAATGACGCCTGAATTGGAGGTCTGCATTGACCCTATTTTATAACCTGGCTCAGCCTGCACTTGGAAATTAACCTAAAGTCCAGCGGACTTAATATATTAAAAATCCGACTAATTTCGGCCAGAATTAAGACGATTTTGGCTAGAATTACGAAAATCCGGGTTAACGAAAAATCAATAATATTTTTTTTTCTTTATTGATAAAAACTTATTGATTATTAGATATTTAAAGATACCATTACAAAATAAAACTGATTTTTGTTTCACGAATTATTAGCGTAATAAATTAATCGACCACTAATTCTTAACCAAGTAAATAAAAATTGAGTCACAGAATCCTGATTATTTTCTTCCGAGATTTAAAACTTCCATAAGCATCTTGATCTCAGGCCTGGATTATGCCGAAAATTATAATAACTTTGGCCAGAATTATGTAAAAATGTGATATTTTTAATAAAATTTGGGTATATACTTTTTTTAATAAAATTCGGATATTTTTTTTTTTTTTATCAGTAAACGCATTTCATTATTAGTAACTGTAAGTGAACATATTGCATGATAAAGAAGAAATACATAAATACATTAAATTTGGTATAACACTCCCTCTCTGCTTCCCAGGACTACACCTGAATGGGTACTAACGGCTTTTCCGTGCAATGGTACGCCCATACCTACCGCGACCCTTCATCGCTCCTAGAGACGTCATGATCACCAAATCTCTCAATACCAACATCTTCGTACAATAAAACGAAGTGGCAACACTAACAGATCTATCTAATGCAAATATGTTCTGGCTTAATTAAACTAATCTAAAAAATCTACACTGTTCTATTCTATATACCTTATCAAGCTGCCCAAAATTTTAATAACTACACCCTACCAGATTCACCCTGTGTCATCATCCTCGAAAAACACTTGTACCTCAAGTTTCCTCATGTCTAACAGTCCCAAACTACCTGCAGACAAGCCTAAGTGGATGTATGAATAATCCCGTCGTCAAAAACGCGAACCTGATCAACCGTTCCGAATTTTGGGGATGAGTCTTCAATATTTGTGAAGAAGCCTGCAATCGTTTTGTAAATTCGAAGTTGGGAACACGAGATCCAGACCTTCTCAAAAGAAACTATTTTCTTGTCTGCGGAACAATCAACTCAGCGGACAAATCCAATAACACCTTGATTAAAATAAATTAACGTATCACGTGGTATCCAGTTCTATTTATAACCTACGGTTTTCCCCATACGCAGATAATTTAATCACATGATTTTCTGCGCTTTTCCAAGATCGCAATTTTGTGTCACAAAAAATCACCTCATCTTCCACTGATCCAATTAATTCCCCACTCAGGTGATCATCAAAGTGACATAAATAGTAAGGTTATAACCTTTGATGATCACCTGAGTGAGGTGGATTTTTACCAGCAAATTCATAATCCCTTGATGTTAATATGGTTAGCTCTTGGATTTTTGATCAGATCATGAGCAATTTTTTTTTTTTTTTAATATATAAAAGAATATTGTTCGTAATATTGATATCAATATCGAATTAGAGAATCCGTTTCAGAATTTTGTGAAACGATTTGATTTCACCCAAATTATTTAAAAGTTTTTTTTTTTGCACCTTTCATGTTTGCTATTCGTAAAAACTTAGTTTATGCAGCAATTCAAGAAGCTTTTAGTGAAGCGGATAAGAATCCTAATCTTAATTACGACTTAACCAATCAACAGAAATTATTAAATGGAATAATTTTTGCTGATAATTCTCTTACAAAAGATGAAAAAGCAGAAACAGCAAGAATAATAGACGAGAGTTATGACTCTTTTAAAATTATTAAGAACGAAGGCGAAAGAAGAATTTGTGAAAATTGTTTATGTGAATGTTTAGCCACATTTTATTGTGAAATATGTATTCGAAATTATTTAAAAGCATATTTTTCAAATTGGACATCTGAACATGATGATGTAGATAATTTAATACGTAATTGTCAAATGGAATCAGTTGCTCCAACTAGGATAATTGAATGGATACCATATAATAATTTTCAAAATATTAAGTACTTAACTAAAGGAGGAGTCTCTAAAATTTATACAGCAGAATGGACTGATGGGCCTTATGACAAATGGGATTCTAGAAATCAACAATTAAAAAGGTTTGGTAAGCTTAAAGTAATACTTAAAACGTTAGAAAATGTTGAAGGCGCAAACGTGAGTTGGTTTGATGAGGTAAAGTATATTATTTTTTAAGATATTATCGATCATTTAATTTTTATGTAAATTAAACTTTTTTTAATAAAATTCTTTACAGGCTAAATCACATTTAATAACAAGTAATAAATCTTTAGGCGTTGTTAAATGTTTCGGTTTAACTATCAATCCAAATAGAAAATATATGCTTGTATTACAGAAAATGGATGTTGACTTAAGAAGTTATTTACGCCATAACCATAATAAACTTACATGGAAAATGAGAATTAACATAATTTGTGATATAATAAAAGCATTTTACGAAATTCACAAAGGGAATACAATTCATAGGGATTTACATTCTGGGAATATATTATATTTACAAAGTGCAAATTTATGGTGCATTTCTGATTTTGGATTTTCAGGACCAGCTGATAAACCATTAACGAACGTATATGGAAATCTTCCTTATATAGCACCTGAGATTTTATTTCGAAAGGATTATTCTTTTGCATCTGATATTTATAGTATTGCAATGCTCATGTGGGAAATTTCATCCGGAAAACCACCATTTAATAATCATAAACATGGTTACGAACTTGCAATGAATATTATTAATGGAATGAGACCAAACATTGTACCAGATACTCCTTTAGAATATAAGCAGTTAATGGAACAATGTTGGGATGCTGATCCATCAGAAAGACCTGACATAGATCGTCTTTATAATAAAATATTTGAAATTAGAAATTTATATTATCAAGACGGTTCAAATGAACTATACAATGAGCCATTTCATAAGCACAATATTAATTTGTATCAATTTTTTCAGTCAAACAAAAGTAAAAGTTCCAAAACAAACTATGGAAGCCGATTGATTACAAGTAAATTTTATAACTTTGAACATTTACCATCATTAGAACCTAAAAATGCGACAGAAGGTACTAAATCATATTTTTTGTATGAATTATTATATTTAAAAGTTGTGAACTAATTTATAAATTTTTTTGATTCGACCAAAATAGAGGAACAAAGAGGTATATAATTTATTATAATATAATAAGTAGTGTTTATTATAATTACTGATACATGCATTTATATTGATAGCATTTCATAGTAAACCTTATGCTTTTAATCTTTCTGATAGTAGTAAGTATTAAAACAGTATTAAAACATTGTTTTTTTTTTATAATGTGATTTTTTTTATTAATTTTGATTGAATTTTAGATAAATCAAGTACATTGAAAATAAAGAAGTATTTTAAAGGTAATTAAAATTACTATTATATTATAATTTATATTATTCAAAAAGTAACCATTTTTAAAAACTCAATTAGATCTTAGTAAAAATTTGACGGATAAATTTAAAAGTCTAAGGATAAATTCCGAAAATGGTAAGACATCAATTGTAATTTTATCGAAAAAAATGAAAAATTGTTTATTTGCTTAAATTTAATTCTAGACGATAATCGAAATGAAAATGAATTATTACAACAAGCAAATAATAATATAAATACTAATCATTATAACATGAAATCTAATTCAATTGATTTATCTACAAGAAGTAAGATTTTATTCTAATACATATATTAAAGAATTAACTGTTAATTAATTTTATAATTATCATGCTTATTAATAATCATACTTTTTCAAACAAATGATAATAGTGGAAAAAGGTAGGCATTTATTAAAATATATGATATATTATGTTTTTTATAACTTATTAATTTATATCTTATTTTATAGACATTTTTGCGTATAATAGCAGTGAAACTATCATATTAAATAGTAGCAGAGAATATTCCAGTAAGTTTTCGTTTGAATGTTTTTTATAAATACTGTATTACTACTGTACATGTAGTTTATGATTTATCCATTTAATTACTTTAGTTGGTAATATCTCGAGTAAAGATTTGGCAGAATCATCAAGAACGAACAGAATAACTACAGGTAAATTATTTTAACTAATATAAACTAATAATATCATCTCATTGGATAGTAAAAAAATAATCAAAAAGTATAGTATAATTTGATGATAGAATATTTTTCTTAATTTAAAAGAAAAAGACTATGTAGGTATAACTAATTCAGAAGATCAAGATGAGTTGGAAATTCCTGATGGTAAATATATCGAGAACTTATATTAAAAATTGATTTTTACTAATAGATTATTTATAATAATTTTTTTTTTTTTTTTTCAATAGAAAAAAATTTAAACCGACGACTAGGATAGTAAATAGAGTCACATTCTTGTTCAAACACTTAGTAAAATACTAGAAACTCTAACAAATTAAGTTTGTCTTAATTTGAAATATTAACGTTGGAGTTCACATGATCGAAATTCCTACTTATATGAATAATTAACATATAAAATATTAATGATATAAATGTAAAAATATTAAGTAATAAATAAAAAATAAACTGAATAGTTAAGATAATAAATATAATTAAAATATAAATATAAGAAATAAAATATTTTTTCAATATCTCTAATATCTCTCATGGAATTTTTGATGAACGACTGAAAAGTTTTGTTCCGTGTATTAGTAATATATTTGTAACGCATGATAAATATCATAATAGCGCTTAATAGAATCCACGAAAATACAATCTATAGAAATTTGCATCCAGCAGGGAATATATTATATTTAAAATCTGAACCTAGGATTCTGTGATCATCACTAAAAAAAAATAGAATTTTGCGTCAAATATTTTAGGATTAGTATACTTATGAGAAATTTCTTCTCAGCCACCATTTATCAATTATGAAAATAATTAATATGATTTGCGACAAAAGTAGTTACTTTATCTCCTCTGTCATTATTCATGTCCTGCCTTATGTCAAACAAAACGACGCGACCACGCTATTAATATAATACATCGTACCACGAATCTAAAATTTTATCGTATACAAACAGAAAATAACAAGAACATTCCAATTCCAATGCATAAGCAAACGGGAAATAAATTGGGATTCTTTACTTTGCGATTCACGAAGATCTCTAGAGATGCTTGGACATTGAACAACTAATAAGATGACTGCACCCATATTCTCGTTAAACCAAAAAGTTCAATAAAACGGAAAAAGAGAATAAATCCTCCTCCGATCAACCCAAAGAAGAGAAAACCAATAGGACGAAGTCCCAAAAATCTCCGAGCAAATCTCGCTCACATGACAAATCCAATAAGAAACAGCTCGGATATTACACGTTCTTTGATTAAAACCTTCTGAAGCTCCTCGAGTAACTGGACGAGGATCAGATCCTAAATTAGCAGAATATATGAACATGTAACTCCTTTACTTACGTTGCTAGGGACTCATTAGTTTGGGTGAACGGATGTGATTTAAGGGATCGTTTAGTTTGTTTTGTAGAAAATGTCATTTGTTTTTGAATTTCTTTTTTGCAGTCTGCTTAGCCTATTGTACCACGCCTTTTATATTTCCCTCTTCCCTTTTCTTCGTTTTTTGGCGAATCAATTGCAATTTGTAATTTAGTTAGTGTGTCTAGAAGTTAGTTCCACTTAATTGGAATAATTGCGAATCTCTCCTGACACCCTAGTTTACGATAAGGGTACCTTACGACCTTACGTTAAGGATGCTCGTGATATAGTGATCTGCTCCTTTTTGAAATCAGCGAATAATATTAAAATATTTATTTTTAATTTAATTGTCACTCAACGATACAAAATTGATTAGTAGATCCGTCGCAAGTTCTTATATGAATGACGTTGATCGGCACATTTCAACTCCGATTTTGTCCTACATAAGTCATGCTTAATGAACAGGGCGGACATCTCATATTATCACGATATCGCCGATCATTTTGCCGATCATTTGTCCAATATTGTCACAAAAAAATACCGTTGAGTTTATTTTTTTTACAAATTCTACATAATAATGTATAAAATTTTGATTTTATTTACTTTATTTATATACTATTAATAAATTAATTCATAAAATAGTTCATGAAGATTTTACCAAATATTAGCCTTATATTAGTTAATCTTACAATAATTGCAACCATGTATTTAATGATAACTTCTTGTTTATCAAAAATTATTCATGTTTATTTTAGCCATGGATTCTTAAATACCTAAATAATATACTATAAAAGTTTCAAGTTTCGCCCTAACATCTGTGGCTTCGCCCGAAGCTTCAAAGTCAAATTAGCAGATGATCGGCATATGATTGGCTAATACTATAATTATTAAAAATTTCGGCTCAAAAGCTAACTTTATCTTTTTTTGCCACAATAATTTTATAGTATATTTTGGGTATCTCAAACTACCAAATAAAATAATTAGTACAATTTTTCTAGCAAGTATGATTTTGCTTGGAGCTTCAAAATAAACGTGATAATCAATATATATATGATCGGCAAATGATCGGCAAAATGATAATAAGCATGTCCGCCCTGTTTGCTTAATGTAACCATACTTTACCAATCAATAATGCAAAACGTGAATATGTCACACAAAAAAAAATTTTTTTTCGTTTGCTATAAAATTTAAAGAGTTTACTTTGGAGGAAGTCACATTCCAGCTCATATTTTAGGTAACTTTACACCAACTATTCGCGAATTTTGCAAATTTTACAAGGTTTTTTTGTATTATTATATAATATATGATATATTCTTGCTTAGATTAACAAAATAATGTTTTAAAAAAAAAAATAAATAAATAAATTTTTTTTTTTTTTTTTTTCAATGTTTTAATTTTACCAGTTTTATAAAACTATACCTAAGTAATGTAACACCTTTTTTAGTGTATTTTTATGGCATTTATATTACAACAAAACGTTTTCAAACTTGTGCAAACACCATTCAGAAGCAATAGTATTTAATATAAAAATGTCCGACGAGATTAATTATAGATTGCCGATCATTTTGTATCTCTGAGTGGCGAATCGGCAATTAAGATAAGTAAAATATTCTTTTCCATTTTTTTTTTTGTAAAAATTTTTATGCAATTTTTTTTTTTTAATAAAAATATTGGTTTATGATATCATTAAATAACAAATTTACATTTTAGCGTAGTTGCAAATATAGTTAGTTACTGTATGTACATTATTTTTTATTATTTCGATAAAAATGGGATCCCACAGTATGAACAACTTATTGATCATATGGGTAAAATTTATGACCTTATAAACAAACATGAAAACGAAGAGTTATTAAGAAAGTCAGTGGATATAGTAGAATATACGAAAGAAACATTACCAGTTTTCAAGTTACAAAGAAAATTATTAGTAAATTATTATATTAGATGAACCATTTGACCACCCCAATCGGAAAAATAGGATCCTACCTTCACTACGCTTATTTTGACGAAATTTTTTTTTGAATGTAGAATATGATCATTTAAATTAGATATATTAAATTGTTTATTATTTTTAGTAGAGTTAATTTTCTTTTTTACTTTTTATATACAGCTGATTTTTAAGAAATTTATCATTCATTTCTTTTTTTTCTCTTTAATTAAAACTGTAACTTACCGAAGGAAGATCCGTAGTTCTTACCATCTTAACAATAATACTTCTATTTTTGGACATTCGTCACATGGCTTAAAAAAAAATGTATGACAAAATCTACAGTAACTGTTTCTAGAAATTCATGGTACACAAAATACGCAATCGACATAAAATTATTTAAATAAAGTTATGGCTTTCAAACTTAAAATTTATTGTTTTTTTTTATTATTTTTACATTAAAAAATCATGTCTTCAAATTTTTTGGCAGAATTATCTAATGACTATGAAAAACTTTTTGAAACAGAAATTGGATATGACGTTATTGTTTATGCCGGAGAAGGGCAAAATATGAAGGAAATTCATGCTCATTCAAATATTTTGTGTATTAGGTCTCAATATTTCCGTTCTGCATTTTCTAATGAATGGGCTGAGAAAAGAGATGGAAAATTTATTTTTAAAAAGCCAAATATTTCACCTCAATTATTTAATATTATTCTTAGGTAATAATTTTAATAATTTAGAAAAATTTAAATTGTGTGAATAAAAAAATTTATCATAACTTTTAAATATATTAGGTTCATTTATTGTGGAAATATTGAATTGAAAAATTTACAAGGTCCTGATGTATTAGAGTTGTTGATAGCTGTGGATGAACTAAATATCAATTCTTTAGTTTCCCACATTCAAGAATTTTTGATTGAACATAAAACTGAATTTTTACAACAAAATCCAACTGGAATTCTTGAAACAGTTTATCAACATGAAACATTTACGGACTTATGGAATTTTTGTCTTGAAAAAATTTGTGAAGAACATAAATTTATTAATTTAAAAGCTCCTTTATTAGAATTATTATTAAAAAGAGACGATTTAAATATGGATGAAATTGAAATTTGGGAGAATTTATTAAAATGGTGTTTTGCTCAACAAAATATAAAGAATGATCCAACAAAATGGAGTAAAGAAGATATTATAAGAGTTGAAAGAGAATTATACAGATTTATTCCTTTAATTCGATTTTATGATATTGAACCTACAGATTTCTTTTACAAAGTTTATTGTTATAAAGACATCTTACCACATGATTTAATTCATGATCTTTTAGAATTTCATATAGTTCCTAACATGAAATCTAAAGCTAATTTACCACCCTCAAGAAAACCAAATTTAAAGTATCATCTTGATTCAACCTTGATTGAATCAAAATATATTCCTATTCTTGCTTCATGGATTGATAGAGCACATTATAATATGGAAAATATTTCATGATTTTAAATTATTATACCGTTCAAATCGGGATGGAACTGACACTAATACTTTTCATAAAAATTGTGACAATAAGGGAGCTACTATTTGGGTAGCAAAAATTAAAAATTCTGCACAAATAATTGGAGGGTATAATCCACTTGATTGGAATGGTAATAATGCTGTTTGGAAAACTACAGGAGATAGCTTTATTTTTAATTTTACAGATGGAAAAAAGATTTCTACCGCAAAAGTAGGTTATGTTAGTAAACAAGATTATGCTGTTTATTGTTATAGTACTTATGGACCAACCATGGGAAATTTACACTGCAACCAGAATGTATGGACTAATTATGATGGGGACCGTTATCCTAATATAGGAATTCCAAGAAATTATTTTAAAATAGAAGATTATGAAGTGTTTCAAATAATTGAAAATAAAAATTTATTTTTATTGAATTTATTTGAAAAAAATTTATGATGACCACTAATAATAAAGATATTGCAATACATTCTATTTGTACATATTTAATTTACCAATGATTTGATCCCAAATCATTTCATAATAAATGTGATAAAATAAAATAGTGAATGCTAAAATTAGATGATTTAACCGTCCAAAGTCTAAATCGGGCTGATATGCAAAAATTAAAGGTTCATCACAATTAATTGAATAATTATATACTGTAAATACTGTACATTTATAGAAAAATATTTATTATTGAGAATTTGTATAATATAAAACTAGGGTGACGTCAGGAATCAAGTTGGCACGCCCTTTAATATTTTTTCAGTTATGTTATTTATTGTGAGTTGTGTATTTATGTTTTTGTTTGTAATAATGTAGAATATATTAAGAAAAAGAATCTGTTTATGGATTTTTTTCGCTTTATTATCAATTCTCTCATCCGCTTTTAAGTATCTACATTTTATATTAAATTTTTCAGCAACATTTCCCTTTCTAACAAATTCATTAACATTAAGTTTGATACTTTTAAATAAATCATCATCATCTTGTACTTGTCTTATAACGTAACCAATGAAAAAAACAAAGATTGAACTAATCGGCAAATGATCACCTGCATTAGCTGTCATCTAATTTTATTTTTTTTATTTTTTAATTTTTAAAAAAAGAATTAATAATTATTTTCTTTTGTATTATTTTTTTTTTTTTTTACATAAATAATAAATTAAAATTATCTCCAAACTATCATCATGAGGAGGTTCCTCATTGAGAGAAAATTTTCCTGTAAACTTAACTACATCACCAAATCAAATCAGGAATCCATTTTGGAACTGATGGATTTTTTGGAAAAAATTCATTGTTGTATTGTATTCTTTTCTCATGATACCAATAGTTTCTTTTATAATAAAATTATTACTTTCTTGTTCAACAATTGAATGAATTACACAAATTTTAAAGTGAGTTTTGCTGGTATAGTATTTATTTATTTCTTATTTATTTAATTTAATATGAAATAATTTATTTTATTTATTTTTTGATGTAAGGAATAGTTATTTTATTAATATATTTTTCTTAATCGATTTTTTTTTCCTTTTTTTCCTTTTTTTTTCGAAAAAAAGAGATATTTATTAAATATTTTCTTTTATATGAGCGTCATTAAATTAAAAATGAAATCAATATTTCTTCATAAATAGTTTCTTTATAATCAAATATTTTTTGATGTAATTATATTTATATCTTGTAAAAAAAATATATTTTTTTATAGATGTGCCAATTCTATATTATTTGTCCGAATTTTTTTAACTTTAAATGGGAAAATTTGATTACATAATGATTGACATTTGAAATCTTCCATGTTTTTTTTTAACTGATAATGGTAAAAGAATAGAACCTTTTTTTTTAAATTTTTTTAAAAAAAAGAAAAAAATAATTTATTTTATTTATTTGTGATGATATTTTCTTATGGTAATAAATTTTTTTTCGATAGCTTTCATAGTACTTTTTTTTTATCATAGTAAATAAACTAATATAAATAATTACGCTTATCATTGTTACGTACATGATTACGTACATGATGGTCATTTTTTTTGAAAAGAATCACTTTTTTTTTTATTTTTTTTTTAAAAAAAATATATATATATTAACCAGAGAAGCTAACTGCGGATCCAATACTTGAAGCTTGAAGCTTGAAAGTTTATGCTTAAGCCTACACTTAAGTATATGCTTCAAACTTCAAGCTTAATATAAAAATGCTGGAAAAGTTTATTAAGCTATATTTGGGCATCAAACTAACCATCATGGTTAGTACGATCAACAAATTTATTAAGACACATTACACAGGCTTTTCGGTCCAAGCTAACAATCACGTGATCACGTTTTATGAAGATAAAAATTATCATATATATATATTTTTAATATTAAATATACGGAATTGTTATACGGAATCTATAAAAACGTATACAAAAGAGCTACCTCACGCACTATATTTAGTAAATTTTACTATTATTACACTATTGAAATTTCCTCATGGCTATAGCGCAAATAGCCGCAAAATACAGTCACAAATTAATTTGAAATCGTTAAATATAATTGAAAATAGAGCCATAAATGTATTAATAAAACCTGGGTCATTGAGATCAATTATTTTTATTTAACTATATTAATTAAAATTCAATTGGATGTTTGTAAACCGCAAAATATTATTGGTCGCAAAATATGTCCGCAGCAGTAATAAATGTTTACCTGCACCCCTGCAGAACTTTGCTAGCCATAATTTTCCATTCATTACGGCAGTATTGTGAAAAACTTCGTATGATGTATTGCCGCACAATAGAGATAATTATACATTAACCATTGTAGTCTGTATTGATTCACTTTTAATCACTTTAGTAAAGCAACATGATTATCACCAAACTATTTTAGGTGAGATTCTCTCAATTTTAATAATGGTTCACATTCAATAATCAAAAATTAGGAAAAAACTTAAATTGTCTTCGGCAGTAATATTGACGTCAAGAAATAAATAAAGAAATATGATAGGGCGACTTTTAACTTGTACTTATTCTTTTTTTTAATTTTTACGTAATCGATCTGCATTTAATTAAATATTTAAGATGTATAGTGATCATGTGTAGCACGTGCATATATTTAACTAATCATTTAACTATGTAGATTACTATATTAATTCGTATTACGTGGATTACTACATCATCGTAATTCGCCGATTATTTTGATTTTTGGGTTAATTCTTCATGAATCTCCAAGTATCCAAGTATCCGTAGTGATTTTATAAATTAAAACTTCACTTAAATAGTTACATATATACAATATTTAAAACTTTTAATAAGAGTAAAAATTTATATATAGTGTCAACCGCTGGAATTCCACAGGTGATCCCCAGGTGAAACATAAAAAACGAACATGTGAAAAAGGGGGAAAATTTATTTATTTATTTATTTATTTATTTATTTTTTTGGCGAAAAATTGAATATACATTTCCAAGAACTAACATTGATGATTTTTTAGTGTAATTAAATTATTCTAGTAAAATTTGTACTTTACTTTAAATGTTCTAAATTTTTGTATTTCTTAAAAAATTTTCACTTTTTTTGTTTTTATTGTGATTATTTTAAAATATTATTGTGGCCTCACGTCATGAAAATACGGGAAAACCCGGTTAAACAAGATATATATAAATATCCAAGAATTTTCCTTGATCAATTTTCAAGAAATATTTTAGTTATAAATAAGCATTTTTTAAAAATGCGACAAAAAATTTCAACTATAATTACTATTGGTGCAGGTCTAGGAGGGCTTCCCCTTTATCATACTTTAATAAAAAACAAAGATAAAAAAGAATTTAACATAAAAATTTTTAAACGAGAATCTGATGAACAAGGTACGGTATAATATTTGATTTTGGAAACCTAAAATACAGTACATCATGTTAACTAACTGTTTTTGTTTCAAATAAGATCGGTGGCTGTTACTATCGAATTGCTTTGAAGTCACGTGATAGTAACAGGAATACTTTCACGAATAGTGTAGAATATACTCGCAATTTAAGGTGTTTGGGTACAGATTAAAAATGTATATTTTATTTATATTAATAAATATAATAAATACGAAAAATAAAGACTGATTAAAACACATCTTAACAAAAAATAAAAAATATTTCTCACCATCGGCGATCTGCAATATTACAATTACAAGAAAACTAACTAAAACTATTTAATAAATCAAACCAAAAATTCCGTCCCTTTTCAGCGAGTCTTTATATATTAATCCTTTGATGGGTATAATTTATACTTGGTGTAAGCATACTAAGTATAAGTTATATTGCCGATCATTGTGATTAGGTCAGCTGTATGCCGAAATTCAGCCGAATTTCGTATATATACAAGAATCCAGGTCCCACATTTCTAAAAAAATATCAGTCAATTCACATTTTGGTCTTAATTTTCTAATCATCCTTTTAGAATGTTCAATTAATGATACATTGATACAGGACAACTATATGTGGTTCAACGTTATCTAATTTAGTGGAGTAACGATGCTCTATAACGTGGTTCATAATTTTGTTCTTGTTCTTGTTCGATCTGAATTAAACGATAAATAATCCATATAGCATCTTTAAAATATTGCGTTTCCACAAAGTTTAATCAACCTAGTCATAAGATTTTTAGGCGCTGCTACATCTGCATCAAATTGAGTTACTCCATAATCAAAGATTTGTAATTCAGGTATTTTTTGTTTTCAAACTAAAAATGAAGAAAATAAATTATTTTAAATCAGAATAAAACATATACATTAAATTTACCTGGAGAATTAATTCCACATGAACCAACTAAAATGTCACAAAATTCTCTCGTTCCATCCTCAAAAAAATACCCAAGCACCTTCCATAGTTACTTCGTATCCAATACATTCTTTTCCCCACTGAACTGGAACATTTCCTGATAGAAAATCCCTAAGTTTATCGCGATAAGCTATAAAAACTTTAGGATTACTTGTTACTTTATAAACATTCTCTACTTGTTTATATGAAGGTTTTAACAGAAGAAGGTCCGTATATGTGTTAAAGGTAGATATGCGCTTCTCCAGTTTTGGTTATTTCGGATTTATGTTTAAGAATAATTCTATGAAGATTTTAAGTGCTTTAACGAACTTTTTTGATCGCGATCATTTATTTCGATAAGTATGTTCTTTTTACACGACTTGATATGTTAATTGAATTACTACTATTATCTTTTCTTGTTCCATTGTTGCTATGGGTGGGACTTTCTGTAGAAGCCTCAATAAATGGAGTGAAAATTCTTTTTTTTTTTTTTTTTGTATTAATTTACGTACTATTTATTATTGGATTATTAATTTAGTGATTTTTAATTATTGCAACGTTAAATAAAAATTATCAATTAAGTTTTTGATCATCACCATGTTACCGTGTTACTTTGTACAGTATGTGCCGATCTGCAGAATGCATATAATATATAAAGAACTCACCAAAGTTATCGTATTAGATTTTGCTGCAGAATGATCTCATGCATATATTGTGTCATTGTTTCTTATACTAAAAAGGACTTTCGTTGTAATACTTTTTTGTTATTCATAATAATTTAATTGAGAAATAAAAATAATAAATACAAGAAAAACAATAAGAAAAAATAGTAAGAAAAAAACATGATTAAGTACTAAGAAAATAACAAAATATAATTACAAATTATTTGAAAATTTCAGTTTCCGCAACCATATTTGCAATCAAGAAATTGATAATATTTGTATCCAAAGACACCACATAAATTCGCACAACAGTGGGTTTATCAAAGTTTTTCGATTGACTTCTGAAGGAAAAATAGAGGTAGATTCAGTAGCATCGAAACAATGTTTCAAGGTGAATCATGACAGTGATAGATTGAGTAATTCAAGATCATAGTAGTCTAGTCGAATTAAGATTTTTAAATTTTATTTATTAATATTCCGTTAAATTTTGTGCGGAAAGGAATACATACATTATTTATATAAAGTAAAAATTCGTCATTTAATGACAAATATAATTACCTTTAAAAGAATTCCTAGACGTAGAATCATATGTTCTTAATGACAAGAAATTAACCAATTTTTACCAATAAAACAAGACTCTGATATCATATGATATGACATTTTCGTCAAAATACGTAGAAAATAATAATAAATAACGTTCTACTTTTAACTGATTGAGATCTATTCGTCACATAAATGTAATATTCAAAATGATTATTAATATAGAGTTGTTGATTAATATAATAATCGCAAAACAATACCCGACAACCATTATTTAATGACGAAATTGGAAAATATGGTATAGTGATTTTTCAAAGTAAGTTTCGCCCAAGTGATACACTTTATATAGAGATACAACATACCTTGTTTCTATCGTTATAAATGTTAAATAATCATATTATAAAAATTGGTTTTGAAAGAGAAAAACCTAAAAACAATTATGTAGATAAATCTATAAAGCGTATGAATTTTTTGGTTGTATATTATTTATACGTAACGCATGGTCTTTATAATAAAATCACTTCATCTTCATTTACAAGGATTTTATCAAAGTCTTCTAATTCATTTGCACCAAATTTAACATCTTTATTTAGTAATTAAAAAGGTGACGAAATAAAATGAATAAAATTCGAAAATTGATTGTAAAAAAGAAAATAAGTAAAGTAGTCGTTAAAACATATAAGTTTAAATTAAGAAACTTTAAAAAAAAAACTAACAACTTTATTTTTAAAAATATGTTCAGCAAATTATAAATAACAACATTTTAATTTTAAAATATGTTCAGTAAAATTATAAATAACAACATGTTGATGACTAACTATATTCGGAACAGTTACAAAATGAATATATATATATATTTATTATTCATGATACCAAACGCGTAATAAATTCATTAAAAGGGACATTAAAGGAAATTCATATAAACTTGTATCTAAAATTATAGCCGATACAAGATCTAATCGGTAATATTCAATCGTATTTACTAAAAAAGCATATCTCATCTGACAAAATGATTGATTATGATTATCATTCTTGGCTTTCAGCTTTCATAAATCAATAAAATAATAACCGAAACAGATCAATTGAAGCTGATTACGCGTAATTCACAATCATTTGTTGAGTCAATAAATTCTTATTCTAATTGCTTGATTCCGTATCAGTTAGAAACAAATAGGAGGTGTGGCGTTCTTTCGGATTTAATCGCGTATCGTGTTTCAACTTTCTGCCTCATGACTTGAAATCAGCCTTCATCTGTAACTATTATAAACAAAGAAAATATTTTTGTTTTGCCACCTAAGTTTGTATTGGAAAATGAAACAAAAAGAAAAATCTTTTTTTTAAGGCTTAAACTATATATTAATTTATATTACGATTTTTTATAAGTAAGAATAATATTATACTGTATTACAATCACATCTAACGTTCATCAATGCAGGAGAATTCACGGAAACAATGATTTTTGTTCAATACAAAGGTCAACCCTCAAAAAAGAATTGTTTGTATAATTTGATATAAACTAAACTATTTTTGTCACATAACCACATAACAGTTTCAATTAACTTCAAACATATTTTTGGACAAATTATTACAATTGCCATTTTGGTTAATAAGGCCGATCAATACGGCCACGTGACTTAAATCAAATCCGCTTTCATTTCTTCAAGATACGATGTAGTTGTCTTTGTTTTTCCAATGCCCCAAGAAAATATTTAAAGAGATGACATCCTTTTCATTTGGACAAAAAAAAAAAAAAATCAAATAAAAATAAAAAATCTTCATTCGTTTCTTTAAAATTTCAAAAATGTCATCAAAAAACTCAAGAACAGGCGGAGCTCCTTATATTCAAAAAATTAAACTATGCAACAACAATAACAAAAAAACTAGGAGAAAGCCTTTGAAATTATGCTCTGATTGTAAAGAGACAAAAGCTTGTGTTAGCTTAATTTCAAGTAAAGTAAATCGAATTGAAGAAATCATTAATAATTATCATAAAAATCCAAAAAAAAAGATCGAACAAATTTCTAAATTTAATACTAAATTTACTTTAAATAACGTACCCTGTGAGTTGGAATATGATTTATCAAATTTCACGTTAGAAAATTTGCAAAAATTGGCAATTTTCACGACTCAAAATTACGGTAATAATAATAGTTATAATGTTTCCAAACATTCCTATTAAAAAATCACCTTTTATTTATAAAAATCGATTTTAGAATTGTTTGTAACACAACGCCGACAAACACTCCTTATAGAGTTGATTAGTTGTATATTCCTAAATAAGTTTTTAAACCACCCAATAATATTCCTCATCCCTTTTTAATCAATTATTCTAAATAAGTTACAATTTTCAAAAAATTCTTATGATTTATAGTATTTGAGGAAGTTTATAAGAAATTTGTACTATGTTATAACAAACAATAATTTAAATTTTATTATATATTGTTAACCAAAAATTAATTATGACAACTATGGTAAAATTCAATCTTAATTTTGGCATCGTACCAATTAAACTTTTTTTTTTTGTGTACTTTACTTTTTTCAGATTAAGATTTTGCATAAGTTTCGGATGTCGGATGATAAATTTCTTAATCTTAGTTCGTGTGATTTTTGTTAGGACAAGTAGGTACCTTGGTCCTTGGGTCACAAATTTTGTGTAACGTTCATTTTAGATATTCTTTCACGTTTCACGCAAAAATGTTATTAAAAAGTATTCTTCCTTACAAAAAATACACACCAAAAATATACTTAACACTGTATTTCAAACTAAATATTCAGTAAAGTTTAAATTTTGCAAAATAAGAAAAGCATCGAAAGGTTTATTATAATGATTTTTATTTCTTTTTTATATAAATCATAATTTATTAAATTTTTCAATGTAGACAAAAAGCTAAAGTTCTACCATTACAAGAACAATTAATAAACGTTCTAAAATCAAGTTTTCTTTAAAAATAAAAGGTAAAAAAGAAATGTTAAAAAAGAAAAATATTTGATAATAAGTCAAAAAACAAATAACAACTAATACTAAATAAAAAGTTAAAGTGTCAAAACCAAAAAAATTCCCCAAACAAAATACTCCAAAAGGAACGTACAAAATAAAAATAAATTAAAAGATTAATACTTGATAAGTAAAAATATACAACACTATGAAAAAACTTACAAAAGACATTTTAAAATAAAAGGCCAGAAAAAAAAGTAACTTACCTTATTCTTAAAGAGAAAATATTAAATAAAAGTGTCTAAACGTTACTAAAAAGGTAAAATAATTCTAAAGGAAAAGAGAAAAAGAGAGAAGTTTTTTTTTACCAAAAAAGAAATGCTTTTGTGTACAATAAACATTGCGCCAAAGGATAAGTACCCGGAACACACATTATGCACGTGCACATTGTGCACATTGTAAATAAATATATTGGGTTAACAAATAAATAAGTAAGGAGATGATCAACCGTCGATCATTACATTTGTTAAACATGATGATCAACAAACGTTAGAATAAAAATTTATTATTTAACTCCTAATTAAACAGGAATTTTTTCAATGGCTAATGAGAAAATAACATTATACTCGTTTTGACAACGTAAAATCATTCAAATTGAATTACAGAAAACTAAAAAATTACAAAAATTATACATAAATAATATAATTCATTTAAAAATTAATATCTAAGCTTCCTATGATCCAATTTAAATGATTTTTAATTTTCAAGAGAGAACAAACAAAGCTCTTTCTAATAACACTAAAATTGCCTCAATCCAATGTGCTTATCTATAGTTATAACCATTTAAAGATACGTAATCTCATCATTATATACATACGAAATAGATTTTTAATAATTTTCTATATTGTATAAAGCATATTACTTTCACTTTCTAGCAGTGTACCTTGAAATGACCTTTATTTTTATTTATTTTATTACTAAAAGAGTAGTACTCCCAAAACTATTACAAAATAAGAGTAAAACATCATTTACATGATGGTACAAATAGGCTAGTATAGAATTTTGGAAATTAATCCCCTACGGGACCCCACCCTTCGAACAATACTATTCAAACTACTAGAACTACGCTAATACTTCGAATGGGGAAAAGAAAAAAATAAAACCTAAAGACCCATCCGTAACGAGAGAACCTAAAAACA